TGGTAGAGAAGAATATGCTAAAAAAATCTAGTAAGTATAGAACAGAAAAACAATTTGAATGACATCAGAAATGTAGTAAAACAGGAATGATGGCAGACTATGGTATGAGAATGTTTATACTGGAGTTATTCCACTTCTTATGAATACCTGAATGTAATTTCTGTTAAAATACAATTTCCTTTGGGTTGTTTTTTATTGTTTTTGCTCTTTTTTTTTTTTTCCCTATTAAAGTTAAAAATAAATTTACTGAAATTTTATTTTTACTCTTGCATGAAGTTAACTTTTATTCTCAGAATTTAGACTATCATTGGCTAGCTTAGATATCTGTGTCTAGACTTGCTTAAACAGAAGCTTTTTTTATGCACTTTTTAATGGTGATGTTCTTCTTTTAATCACATTTTATTGCGTTACAGGTAAAAATTACTCTGATTTTAAATATTTGCTATTACTTTCCTTAAAAGCACAGTTATTGGAAGAAAAGATGATAGCTGCCACAACATAATAAACTATTCTGGAATGTAGTCAGGGTCTCTGCCACTTTTTCTGTTGAAACTGAGCCACCACACCTAAATATTTAAGATTTATAGGGCTAGAAATACAGTATCAGAGAGAAGCTTAGCACAAGTTCTGTTAGAATAGAATTTTAGAAACGAATTACAGTGGGAAAGTTGTGTTCCCGGCCATGTTCTGTGTGTTTTGTCTAGCAGCTGTTCGATATGAAAATAGTCTTATAATAAAGATCGGGGTAAAGATCTTTCCCATGCTGATGAATGCTTCAGTGGTTAGCTACAGGTGGGCTTCTATCTGTACTTGCCTGTCATTGCTTTTGTCTGACACGGTAAAACTTGTTACATAATGTGATGATTCAGAAGACTGCTGCATCCCAGCCTAACCGCTAGATCAGGGTTTAGAATTGTTTCTTGAAAAGTGGGAGGTAAGAGTTTGAATTTTTAGTTTGAGAAGTGTGATTAGCTAATATCTCTTTTTAGACAACCAAATACACACTTGCTAGATTCTACTGAAGGTGCACAACTGCTTCATAGCATTTTTTGAAAGAAAGGTATGAGTGAAATGGTTGATTTAGGAACTGTGTGGAAGAGCAAAAGTTACTAGAATACCTGGATTTCCCAGAGATGGGATTTGTCTTCAAAAAACAGTGAAATGCTATCACATCTATTTTACAGAGAGGAATGGGGACATAGAGATTAGGCCAAAAATTAATATGCCTCTCCCCAAAATAAACTGAGAACCTGGAATGGAAAATTAATTTTTATTAGATAAGTTTAGCAAGGTTCTGTAAGCCACTAGATTATGATGGAAAGTTTTCAGTTTCACTAATCATGTCTCTCTGTGGTATGTTCTCTCAGTTAAAACATGGACCCGTGTTTCTTCTTGGCTCAGAAACTGTTGGAAGACATTGTGGATCTGTGACTCAAAGCATTTTGTGCTCTTGAATCTTACTGTCCTTGACTTTGCCTCTTCTTTGTTCCTACTTCCATGAAAGGTGGGAGGAGAGTAGGCTTGAAGAGGAAAAGTGACAGTAGTGCAATTTGGGGCCAGAAAGAGAAAAGATGATAGAAAGCATAGTCCTGTCAGCTGTCTATACCTCTCTGCCAAAGACTGGTGTTAGTATATGCAGAACTGATGCAGGCAATCCAAAACCTTGCAATTGCAGAATAATTAGCTTGTGAAGGGGAATAATTGCTAGCAATAGGAGTTTTTTAAATCTATTTTACTAGCTCCCCATGTATCAGCTGTGCAGAGTACAGAGGACTTATACTATGAACCAAATCCCTGAATTTTAGAGTTTATTTTATTCTCTTCAGTATTTTTCTCATCAATTCTGTTCTGTTTAAGTTCTTATATATAACAGAGTTCTGTAGTGTGTTAAGAAACATGATGTATTCATCTTGTTTTGGTCATTCCCACAGTTCCAAAGGGGATGGACATGTGTACATTAGCTATGAAGAAAAGGATTTGAATCTTTCATGAGAAAAGCACCTAAAAAGTGTCATGGTATTACTCAGTATCGTGATACTGTTGAACCATTTTGACAAGAGGTGCACAGGATTTTGGGGGGCTGTTTGGTAAGACTGATTTCTTCCTGTTTTCACGAATTCTCTCTTTCTTCAGTTAGAAGTGGTGGAGCATGCTGTTCTGGACACTGCAGTGCAGCCTGTAATGCTGCTTGTTCTCTTCTCACTCAGTGTACTCCTTTCCTTTCTGGATTCTCCCTGAAATAAGGAATTCTACAGCATGTCATCTCTCATTTTCTTGAGACTTGCAGATTCCTGTTAATTATGTGAGCACAGCTGCTGTAGTCTGCTCTGGCATGGTGATGGTGGTGGTGAAGTAAAACCTGACTGCAGTTTCTATACCTCATTCTTGCTGGAATAAAAAGGTCATTGCTAGCACTCTGTTCTTGAAAGGAAGTCTTGTGGGAAGTCTGGACAGTGGGGCCAGGTGATACACAATATGACAAAGCTTGGCTATGAAGAAGACACAACATTGTTATAAGTACTGAGATAACACATCTGATAATTTTGTTACCAGTTGATGGTAGTGTCATGGTAGTGTCATTAGAGTGAACAGTGGAAAGCTAGTATGGAAGGAGGAGAATGGATGGATGTGGCCTTGTAAAATAAAGGAAATTTTGAGGGATACTACTATGTGAGAACTCTGAAACCTTCTCTGTTTAAGTCTGATTAACTGGCAATGTTGTGTTCTGTGTGAAACAAATATTCCAGCAAATAACCAACACAACCTCTTAATATTTTTATCTCAATAAAGAGGAAATTTGTGTCTAACTGGAGTTATTTACAAACAGTGATTGCAGCTTTTCTGTATAGAAACAGCAAGAACTTGAGTAGTCCTGTGTACAGATTGAATTTACTAATACATGGTCTCGTACCTTCTGTCAGAGAAAATAATTTCATGTCTACAGACACAACAGAATGCTTTCCTTTTTGTCATTATATCACTTTCATCTTGTTTGGGTTCCCCTTAGCTACTTGCTGACTTGTGAAATGATCATGTTTCAAGTGGTGTAAGTCACAGTAGATATGGTATGTCCATATGTTTTAAAACAAACAAACAGAAATTGCTGCTTTTATATTACTAGCAATCAAATACTCTTTAGTATGGCCAGTTTCCTGAGATCTTTAAAAAGTAGGGAAGAGGGGCTTAAAGTCAGAATTTCCAATTAACAAGTGTTTGCTGTGTGCTTTTAGGAAGGATGCAGTGATTTTGACACATTACAGGGGATGCTGCTACTTTACCAGTTAGTATGGCAATATCTGTGTGGAATACTACAAAAGATCGAGGTTAAAAATGGATACTTATGTTTCTGTATGTTTTTAGGCACTTCACTTATGTCAGTAGATGGTTTTAATTCCATATCCTGGACTGAATGCAGAATATGTAAGGTATATAAACTGAATGCAATTAAGTAGATTTACAGTTGTCTTCTTTGGTTTGCATCTCAGTGAATATGGTAATGAATGGAAAATTTGACACTGAGGACTATTCAGTGTTTCTTCTGTGCTGGTTTAGACTAGAGAATCTTTGGTGTTGGATGATAAGATTTGTTTTCTGAGTGAGGCATTAAGTGTTTTTCAGGACCTGCATTGGGCCATGAATCTTTTTGTAAGTTGGGAAGACTGTCAGATGAGTCCACAAGTTTTTGGGATATATATCTTGTAGCAGTTTGCTGTCTGTTAGGGGAAGCTCAGTTGCCTTGGGTCTGAATGATTAAACTCACTTTAAGGTACTACCAACAAAAAAATGATGTCACAGAGTAATACATTGTTGTAATAGTATCTATGCACAGTTTGGTTTAGTTTATGTTAAGTTGTGCTCTGAATTCCGTGATAATAATCTCAACTGCAGAGATTTCATAAAGACAACGGAACATTTTAATTTTTTATTGAAACTTTAAAGGTTGGATTATCATCTTTGACTATTTTTTGCATGCTTTACAATTTATTCTTTTGATGGACACATTTTATTTATAAAGTATCAAATAAGTCTGCATATTATTTACATATGTTATGTGTCTTTTTTGATATGCCTACTGTATGCATACTGTATCCTGCAAATAATTATTATTTTTGCTAGATAAGGCACAGTCTAAAACAATCCTATGTGCCTGCACATGACTCTCACGTGTGTTTCTCATGTGGAGGATCTCTACTACAGGATTTATTTTTAAAATTTTCTCGTTTGTTTATGTAGGATAATGCTCATTTAATATCACAATTCAATTGTTTACATAGTAGCAGTATGTCTATGACTTTCACTGAATTTTGGATTGGTTTCTTAATGCAGATTTTCATTGGCACATTTTCATTATTTGAGTCTGTACCTATAAAAATATAACTATTTTACTACTAAATTTAATTTACTCCTTGGAAACCACTTTTCCCTTTTTCATTTGAGAAGGAAAGGCAGGAAATATGCTTTTTCTCACCGGTGATACTCGCATCACTCCTAATATTTTAATAAGATTTGTTATTGAATTCTATGCTGCTCAATATAAAACTGCAAAGCTGTATGTAGAAACTGAAAAAAATTATTTAATGTAGCAACAAATATAAAATTTTTCAAATTTAGAAACCAAGGTTTTAGATTCTACATATTTCTACTTAAAAGAAAGGGTTAAAATTCTGAAGAACACCCTTAAAAATATATTTTAAATGGTCATTTTTTACATGCCTGCTTGAAATATACCTAATATTTTGTTATTTAAGGGGAAAAGATGGCATTTCTCTTTCTAGACCTTTTTTCTTTTTTTTTACTTAAGTCATTAAGCATTTGCCAAATTATTCTGAATTATAGAAATCAGTTCTAAGTTGTTGATGACTTTTATATTTTTCTATCTATTATAAAAATTTTCTAACTTCCCTTTAGGCTGAATCTTTAGTCTTCCTATACTATAACTTAGTGCTTCTAGAATGGGATGTATATTTTTTAAGTGAAAATATAATCTCATTTGGTTTTAGGCTTACATATATCAAATGCGTTCAAGCAGTTTTTCACATAAACTGCGGGGACACACAGATTCTGTCATCAATGTGACTTTTAGTCCCTCATCTCCACAGGTAAGTCATTGCTTTTTTTCCTCTTTGTAATTAAAATTTGTAAAATTTTCACTGTGAACTTGCTTTTTACTACTCTTTTATTTATCTACCAATATGCTGTGCAGCTGTAAGGCTGTTCATCTACTTCTAACTGTAGTGTGGTTATTGTGTCAGTCATAAACTCATGTGAAATGCTACATGCTACAGAGACAAATGCTCTGACTAACTGCCTACAAAGAAGAGTTCTGGCATAGGAACTATTGTGAACCAGTACTTGTTGAATGTCGGGAAAATGTACAACCACTTCAAATTACCTGGGTAGACTACTAATTCAGAGGATGTAAGAGAGAAATAAGTAGGGGCAGGGAAATGTCAAGGGGCTCAGGCCTGTCATAGTTACTCAAAGGCCTGAAATATTTAAAAAATGTTATTTTACATGTGCTGTGTCTGAATAAGCAGTGAAATAGCTTTATCATAATGTTTTGAAAAACTGTTGCTGTTGTGTTTTGAGCCTTTCAGATGTCTATATGTAAAAAGTACTCCACAGAAGTTAGGCATTAGTCAATGAGAGTTCCTGTTTTTTTACTGATCATTAATACTATACTGTGTTAACAGCATTATATTTCAGTGTAATTGTTTAATTATACTGCATCAATATATACAAGGGAATCTGTTTTCTAAGTATTATCTTGAAACCAGAGCTTCCCTACAGCTAGTTTATAATGTGAATTCTTTGTATACTGTTGAATCCTATAGACTTAACTCATTCATTTTCATGTATTGAAAATGCATTGAAGGTTTTGTACTTTCTACACTTCTCCTTACTTTAAAGAGACAACTATTGTCACTATATATATATATATATATAAAAGAGGACACAGTAGCTCCTCTTCACTATCTCCTCAACACTGGCTGTACTTGTTACTATTAAAAAACATTTACAAAGTAAGTATAATATATTTCAATGTGGGAGTATTGTTACATTTACACATCTCCTTCCATCTGTAAATAACAATGTTAGCATTTCTGCAATTTTAGAATTTCTGGAAATTTCTGGAATTCTGGAAATTTTCTGTTAATTGCTATCTTGTGGTGAACATTATGTATTTCTGCTCTTTGGATTCATCAATGATATATCCAACTAAATGGTATAGTTTATTAAATTTTTCACCCAGATTAAGACTAGTTTCAGGTTTAGCACTGAACACAATTATGCAAAAAAGATGTTATATACTGAAGAATAGAGCTGACTGTAGTCTAGCAGCATCCTGATCTATGGTCCAGCTGTTGGAATGCATTTTGGTGGAAAATGTCTTATTAGAGTTTAACTATTAAAAGCCTAGAGGCTCAGTTGCAGTAATACTATGACTTATGACTGAAGTAGCTAAATTCAGGCAAATCAGTTGTCGATCAGGGACGCAGAATCCGTAAATGGTGTAAAATAAACATTGGCTGTGAATCCAAGCCAGACTGGTCTAAACTCTGAAAGTGTGCCTTGGGGCACAAAGCCTTAATACTGAACTTCATGAAACACCACACAGTCAATTTAGTATTGCGGTTAAGAGCCAAATCTGAAGTTCAAGGACCAGAAACACACTTCCTGAAGAGCTCTTTCCTGAGAAGCAAGAGCTGTGGATTTGAACCAGCTGACAAACTTCCCCATAGATATGGTTCTGGGGGAAGATTTTGAAGCTGGTATTATCATGAACACTTTACTAAAAAGTAAGGATTGTGCAGAAAGTGCTCCTCTGAAGGATTACAGCTGAAATGTAAATTCTGTTAACCAAATCATTCTGTATTATAGGCACTCTGAAATGCTTTCTAAATCAGTAATTTTGGGGGAGTTGCAGAACCAAAAAAAATTAATCACCTGCACTTTCCAATGTAGGATTTATCATGAGGTTACATTCAAAGGCACTAGGAGAAGCATCTAAGAAATGCAATGGTAAGCTTGTAGAGTGGAAAAGAAGAAAACCACCAAATGAATCAGAACAGAATAATCCCATGCCTTGAAAGAAAGACTTTGTGTTAGGCAGCCAGAGTTTCCAACACTGGAAGATTTTTATACCTACCACTACCACTATTTAGGGATTTAAAATTGACACTATTCTTGTTTCATCCAAAGTTTGAATGAATACTGTTAAGAATTATATTGGGTTCTGAATAACCTCTGCACAAAGCCCCATTGCATTCAGAGAGAAACACTGGCAGGGGAAGAAGTAAGGAGTAAAAAAGGGAAGTGGCTGATGAGTGAAATTCGAGCATTATGGCTAAGCTTTCTGCTGCGGAAAGATCCAGCCAAGAGTGAGGTGTACTGGCAGCAGTCCAGTTCAGTGGTTGCTTGCCCAGCACCTGTCCATGAGATAGTTTGTTCCAACCTTTATTATAACTCTCACTTTCATAAATGTTCTTCCAGAAAAGAGGGAAAAACCCTAGATGAGTATAATAGTGATTTTTTTACTGCTGGGGGGGCATTGTTGCTGTCATCATATGGTAGTCTGGAATGATTTATAAAATGGTTGCTATGAAAGCTGGAGAAGGGAAATAAGATAGAAGCTTTGCATTTGTCTTAGATATATTTTCAAGATGATTTCTCAGTTTTAGCTTTTCATTGTTTCTTCCTGGTTTTCACTCATTGTTCAAAACTTAAGTAGGGAAAAGTATTTATCTTACCAAAAATATTAATTGAATTTCAATCTATTTTAGGGAATACACATTAAGGGATATCATAGTGTTTAACTATAATAACTATAACACATTTGAGTCAATCTAAGTTAAAATGGGGTGGAACTCATACCTTCCAAATATGGGAACCAATACATCATCGCTCTTTGAAATGATTTTGAAGCAGGATAAAAGCAAATAGGGAAACTATTGTCATCTGCTCATTTTTGGTGGCTTTTGTGTATTTGAGTGTTGGTTTCATCTTTGTACAAGCTGGGTGAACACTGTGGCAAAACCATCCAAAAACACTCTATCATATTATTGTCTTCAAAAAAATCAACCAACCAACCAAACAAAAAAAGAAGCAGAGAAGAAAAGAAGGTCCAAGCTCTGAGCCAGTATACTGTGCTGGAAGTTATTTTTTGATGACAGAATCATGACTTTGAAATCAGCATGCATTGCTACCACCCTACTGATATACTGAGAGGTAGCTTTGAGAGAGAGAAAAAAACCCACCCCAAACTACACTTTAATAGAACAAACCCTGAGCAACCTGATCTGATTTCAGCATTGATCTTAATTTGAGGAGAAGGTTGGATAAGATGATTTCCCGAAGTCCTCTGAAGCTACCTGTTTGAAATATTCAGATATTTAAATACATGCTCAATAAGTTAATGTAGGGCATTTGATGAAAAATAATCAAAAATATAATTTACATTGGATGAAATATGGCAAATCTGTTCCATTTTCTAGAAATATAGCTGTACTTCTAAACATAAAATCGGACTTATAAATTAATGCAAAAAATATTCTATTGAGTAACAATTTTAATTAATATCATGGTCAGTTTTGATGTGACCACCCAACTGATACACTGAGAGATAACTTCAAGAGAAAAAAACCCACTAGACTATAATGGGAAAAATCCTCAGCATCCTGGTTATATTTCAGTGTTGACATTACTTTGAGTAGGTTGGATGATAAGATTTCATGAAGTCCATACAAAATGAATTATACTCTGATTTTGTGATAGTGTATAAGCTCCAGAAATCTCTTGTCACAGAAAGCATTAGAAAAATAATATAAATAAATAGGAAACATTAACATCTTTTAATTACCACATAAGTTCAACTTGTGTCCTGTTTATCAGTAAAATATCTAATTTACATGTGTGGAAGATATTAATTAAAATTGTTACTCAATAGAATTTTTTTTTGCATTAATTTATAAGTCTGATTTTATGTTTAGAAGTACAGCTGTATTTCAAATAACATTAGTTTCAGGTATTATTATATTGTGGCACATTTAGGTTAGATAACATCTGACCATAAGTGCATTACTTGGCAGCTGGAGAAATTTAAATGAATAGTAGAGATATGGAAATCTCTTTCCCAGATACATTTGCATGGGAGTCACTGAAAATTTCATATTGATTTTCCTCTGACCTACTTGAAGGGAGACATCTTTTATTTTCCCAGTAAGGACGTTTACTTGTGGGTCTCTCAGATAGTAATACAATGTAACACTAAAACCACCACTTTAGTCAGAATTGGCTACAGGTGGTATTGGATATGTCTGGAAATATGAGTTTTTACCTTTTACTAGCTACTAACAAAGTATACTTTTCCTGGTGGTCACATCTGGAGATTTCACTTTAGAACAATTTGTATGAAAACTCTATTCGTTTGTGATTTTGGTTCACCACTGATGGTTCACTGTAATCATAAAATTTTCCACAATAGAGGCAGCTTCTGTAGTGATATGGAAAATTCTTTTTCAGACTTTAGTTTGCTGAGATTTGGCTTTAGTATTGAATTAGTCTTGTCTCATTCCTATGTAGGGCACATTTTTTCCACTGTGATATTCTTCTTTAAAACTCAGGACTATCTTGTCACAGACTAAATCATGTGGATTTAAAACCTGTGACCAGCTTGACATCTAGTATGATCTCACTGAAGTCAGGAAAGTTCTTTCACATGGTTCTTTTGACCCTACTGTTTGGCCCAGTCAATCCCAATTACTCCCTCTCATAATCCACAAATACATCAAAACTAGATGTAAATAGAATTTTGTAATTTTTGTTTTTCTTTTTCCTGTAATTTTATCTCTGAGAGGAATAAGCAGCCAGCTATCAACTTTTCTGATCTTCCATTGCAAGAGATAAATTCAAAGGCTAGAAAATGTCATCAAATTCTAAAAATTATAGGGTTGTTTTTTGCTTTTCTGAAATGTATTTTAAAATTTTGAGTTCTGCTGGAAGACTAGAGTAACTTTCAAAAATCAGGTTTTAAAAAGTTTTCTATAGACATTTGTTGAAAAATTATTTGGTAGAATCCTTTGTCTTGTTTATGGCTCTT